TGTCACGGGTTTGCTAATCTAAAACGTTCACGTTATCTAAACAAAAATCCGAATAAATCATTTTTTGTTTTAATTTTATAGTAAAACTTAAAATGAGTTGACCCAACTGGCTGGCCCTAAAGTTGAGTAAACTCAAAAACACTTAGTTTTTGAGTTTTCTCAGACTATATTTTTAAAGTGTACCAGCTATTTTAAATTTGACTGATTAACATGTCATATTTTTTTTGTTTAACCCAAATATATGTACCATTGAACAGAGCCAGACAAGCAGTTTGCCTCCGTTTCTGTCGTCAATCTAAGCTAAGTAGGCTGCTTAACTAGAATCAATCTTTTCATCAAACTCTTGACAAGTAAGTGAATAAGCATATTTCCCAAAATGTCAAACCCTTCATTTAACAGCAATGTAAAACAAAACTGGAATTGGCAACTCCCACACACACCCTCACGAATACACTTACAAAAGCCATATGAGAAGTGTACAAGGTATACAAAGTACTGCAGACGGCAGTGTTTTCTTAAAGTACACCAGTAAAATAAATTAAATAAACATCTCAGAAGTGAGATGCCTTACTTGGTTTCTGTGTTTTTGCAAAGAACTGTAATCCAAAACACTTTTCTATTTCCATTGGTGTGAGACAGGTTAGCTAATTAAACTGCTACTGCAAGTTCGTAGCATCCCCATCCCTGTACACGTCTCCTAAACCGCATAAGTTGAGAAGCTTTCATTTGAGCTAAATAATACATAGTGGGCTGAATGAAGCGCTGCATCTCTCCAAGGCAAAGGGTCTCTATCGGACTAGATGAGGATGACTCATTCTCTCATCAGGACATGCTGCACAGTCAGCAGCTACGTTCAGCACACTTTGTGGTACTCTCTGTGCTATACATATTCACAAATGTGCAAGAACGAGATGGGGGGGAAAATATAATTGCGAAAAAGACATTTTCTGTCATAAAATATGTTGTTTAATTTGGTAAAATAATATATTGTTTTGCGAGCAGTTTAGGTGAATTTCAGCTTTGGAGCCTGCGTTGATGACCCTGTTTGTTTGTTAGCTGTTGCCAGGTTCGGTCCCTGTAGACCACAGCAAGACATGTGGGACTCTGTTTCATATCAAACACAGAGGCCAGTAAGTTACAGAGAAAAGCTCTGTCTACTGTATTTAATGCTCTCTCTGTGGTTGAAAAATGCTTCTTGTGTTTTAGAAAACAATAGAACACAAACTGAACCACATTTGCATATATCTTTCTATTTAACAAACAACTAAGATATATGCTACGTAAGTAGCATATACAACAAGAAATAAGAATCAACCAATGAAACATTTTGAAAATGTACATTCTAGTGAGATGTGCTGTTGATTTGAAGATAAAACAAACATACAGCACAGGTGTTACTAATGACATTAACGATGGCTCTGCTATATTCAAGCGTCCCAGTAAACCATGACAGCGCGACGGTGAGCCGGCATGTTCAATACCAGGACCCTGAAACCAGAGCCAACACAGTTAGTAGCTACACTTTCCTTCAAGTCTCCGTTGCTCCGTGGACATGCACGTAGTTCAACAATGAAAGACCAGTAGTGTGAGGTGGAAAAGAGTTAAGCATATACTCATGTGTTCATTGAGCCGCTCCCAGAAAACGCAGGATGGGAACAACATTCAGTAAAGACCAGTGACTTTCTGTTTTCACAGTGTACACAGATCAGGTCAATCCTGCAGAGTCACCCTACTGCTGCAGCGGATGCAGACTAGCTTAGCTGAGCTCCAGCAGAGCCCAGCACTAAAACTACAGCATGGCTCTTTCTGCGCCATCAATCAACACTTAACACAGAGGGTGAAAGAGAAAAGAGAGAGGAGAATGTCTTCAGTTATAAACCTGGTGTTTGGTCTATTTTCTTGTTAATTGGTTTGACATTAAGCCCAGCAAAGGGTTTATTTCACAGATTTCTCCCACCATGGTCTCACTGGATTTGAACAATATTTAGCCTTCATTTGCTCATTTGTCAAATGCTCAAAATATCTTACATGTCATTAGTGGGCCAGGCAGCAGCATTCAAAATCAGGCCAGGGCGCTGCGGCCTAAGTGATCGTGCTAATAGTCTGTGTGAACTATTTTTCTCAGAGGCAAGACGAGCAAAGAGCATTGGGGTAAACAGGAAATCAATATTCACAATCACGTTTTAGGTCGGAGGAGACTGAGCACTACACTCTTTCTAAGGACACATCAGGCTCCATTCAGCAGGAAGCTGCAATGATAGACTATGATATTACAGAATCTTTGTTAATCATTTTCTTTTGTTAAAAATAGTACTATATCCTTCTTGTGATATTGGGAACATGTTAGCCAACAGGTGCCTATTTACACATTCAGCAGACACAGAGCAGTAATTCACATTTAAAGTTATGTCCTTTGGACAGAAACATATAGTACAAATATTCAATCTCTTTTAGCTTTGTTTTGATCTCGACCAACTACTGAGGAAATATTTGTCCCTTTAGCTTTAGCTTTCGTTTGATGAAAACGATAAGATGAACCAACATAGTAAAGTGGCGGACTGTAGAACCAAAACACAAAGCTTAAAGACACTAAAGTCACAAGTGACCCCTATCACGCTTTAAGAGGGAAAAATAAACCAGTTCCACAGAGATTTGTGTTTAAATGTGAGAAAAGCTTAAAGCTGTTGTAACCTATATTTAACATTAACAATGGATCACATGACTACTTCTACGAGACACGATTGGCTCGTAGTGACAAACCCATATAGAATCCCACGACTCTGCAGTTCACCCTACAGAGCTTTATAACTGTCAGCTCATCGTTTTTAATATGCAGGCTGAAGCCATCCATCCGTTAGCTACACTGCTTTTCCTTGAGGGTCACCGGGGATGAAGCCGATTCCAGATGTCACGGCGAAAAAATGTGCGCGTCCTCCTGGGTGTCATGTCTCCATCACTACTGATTGGAATTGGAGCCAATAAATAACCGTGACTACTGCAGGGTCCTTGAACGCTGATTGTAATGTTTCCCTCTAAAGACAAAAGCATAATGATAGTGGGGTTTTCATGTCCTGTGAGAAAGGGGCTACGATGAGAATTAACCTGATGTCTTTGGAATATGTGGGTATACCAGAGCACCTGGAGGAAATGCACAAAGGCACGGGGAAACCATGCAAACTCCACACAGAAAGGCAAAATCTCTTTCATGGAAATGCTGTTTCCTCCCCTGCGGCTTGAACAGCCGTGGAGTTAAATGGCGTGATTAGCATTACAACCAATAGCTCAGAGGAGACAGATTACTACATGCACCGCGGGCAAAAGAAATGAAACCCAACAAGGAGGAGAATGTGGAGATTTCGCACAATAAAAGAATTGAAATAAACTCTTGCATACAGTCCTGTGAGACCACTGCTGTGGAGGTACAGTCTTAAGGATCAATCATTGTTTGGTAGAATTATCATTAACAAAAAGGCAGAATTTGAAATTTTTCCCTCCACGGGCGCATCTGAACAAACACCATTCTGTGAAAGCCATGTCACCATGGTGACGGTCCGTCCGCCTCTCGTGTGGAACGTGAGCAGGAGGAGAGCTGCCATTGGCTGAGAGCGCTGAGGAACAGGATGGAGGAGCCTGCTGCTGGCAAGATGGCCATGCTGCAAAGGACAAAAAGTGACCTGTACCAAAAAGGACAGTAAACAACACTGAGCTTCGTCCCTCTACGACCGAGGCATGTTGTGTTTCTGCTCTCCACACTTGCATTTCAGACACTGCGCAGACAGCATGTGGGCTTATAAATAAATACAGGTTTGTATGCATGGGAGGATTTCTGAACAGGCATGAGGGATAAGGGGGGCCAGGGGGCCAAAGAGATCAAAACGACTAGAAAGTGACTCAAAACAACAGAAAAAGATACACAAAATGATTTCAAAAAGAGGGAAAACGACCACAAAGCGCCTCTTTTCTGGGCGTCTTGCTCCAAATGAGGTGAGGAGCCTATTTGAATGTCTGTATTGTCTCATAGTCCATTTGTCCTGGCTGCTTGAGTTGTGGTGCACTTACTACTGTATCCAAACACTGAATTCGGATAATATTTGAGCTTTTTTGGGTATAGGAGAATGAGATTACAAGACCATCAGTCAGTATTTGCCTCATAATAAAACATGTGTTTTTCTTCCAAGGCTCCTCAGGAAGATCTGACAAAATAACCAAACTCAGCACCACGCTATCCATTCTTTTCTGCATGCATGCTATGTTGTTTGCATGAAGGAACAACATGCTAGAGCCAATGAACGCTGAGCTAAGCCCCTACAGCCTCCTGGAAATTGGATAAAGCGTTGATATGTCAGTAATTCAGTGGCAACATTTCAAAGCCATACAAAAAATAGAGCTGTTGCTCTGCTATCCGTCAGGTGAGACCTGCATTCTTGGAAAACTACAAATGCTGCAAGGTCAAACTGCAGCGCCGGGCAACTCGTCACGACTTCCCTGCCTGCAAACATGGATGTCACTTACTTTGAGGTTAAGACACAGTGAGCTGTTTCTCCGTGCAGAGAAGGGGTTCGCAGTCGGGCACGCTTCTATTACACCAAGAAAAATACATGTATCATGTTATGACGGCATGTTATGACAGCATGGATCTGTCGCCCCATCCCCAGCAAAGGCCGTGGGGGAGTTGCACTCTCAAACAGGGTGACAAGACGCGTAAACATCTGCCGGAGCGCACTGCGCAGCATCCCTCCATCAGCTGCACCAAAACAAAATAGACACAGCAGAAAACAGCTCGAGCCCTTGCGGAATACTCTCGGCTCCCCAAAAGACCCCCCCCCCCCCCCAACGTTTCCTCCTCATATTTACACAATTTATGTCATATTTACATTCTGTTTCCTTGGTGGAAATCTCTCCACGCCGCAGGCGCATCCTCCGTAAAAAAAAAAAAGAAGACAGCTCTGCCGCGGCCGGTGCCACTGATGATTTCAATGACATGCTCCGGCCTCGCTTACCTGCGACCCCTTTCCCGGAACCCCGTTAGTCCTGTCGCGGATCCATCGGTTTTCATCGTTTCACCTGCAGCTTCTTCGCCAAGAGCTCCGCTGGATGGAGCGGTCCTGGCTCACACACCCGAGGGAGAACGGGAGGAGAGGAGAGGAGAGGTGGGCTGGGCCAGGGGAGGGGGACGCAAGAATTACGCTGGATGGCTGCCTCGTGAGGATGGGCACAAGGGTGTGTGGATGGAGGCATCTGCGTCTACGTCGGATACTGTTAAAGGAACACACACCGCGGTGAAGTTAGTTCTATGTTGGGGGCTGCCTGCGGGATCAGCATTGTATTACTGTTGAAACAACACAAAACCAATGTTTTTTTATACTTTATGCTTGCACAGTATTATTATTATTTTCTCATGAAACACATATTGGATTGTAATATTTTACTAGAGATATTTTCTGTTGTCGATGTTTGCATGTGACTAGCTTTATAAAACAACTCAAAATCAACAACAAAAATAAAACGTTGCTATGAGAATAGGTTCTACTTTCAGAGAAAGGCAACCTCATACTAGACATCACATCTCTGTTGGTCACTTTCAAATTGAATCAGGGTCGAACAAAGACTATTTTGAATTTTACCAAATAATGTAACAATTACACAGAATAAAAATACTATAATAATAATTTTCCGTCTGTGATATTGTAGCATTAGTTTTGCTAACGTCATATATAATATTGTGAATTGGTGATAAAGTAAAAGACACGGTAATGTTCTATTTTACGGTCAAATTTCCTGAAAAGATCTTATTATAGGGATATTAAAACAAACTGATAACCCACAGATATCTTTGTGCAGGACATGTCAGGTGAACATGCCGAACATTTGTCAACATGCAAGCACACAATTTGACAAACGAATAACGTTCCTGTTAATACATTTATCTTCATTTTTATTGCATGCTTATGTTTAAATACAACTCTTTATTTCAAGGACACTCCTAGATTCCCTTTAATTGGCATTCAATTAAATTGTTCTTTCCAGAAAATGTATGCAGACTTTTACAGAACTTTAAAATAATTTGGCTGGCGGCTGTCTGGCTCAGTGCCATCGTGCTTTGTAACTGGTGAATGATGAGAATGCAAAAAATGCTCTGACTTTAGAGAACAGGGTAATGACTTCTGTCAGGATGTGAGGGAGTTCTCTGTTCCAGGTGACTGATTCAAACACTTAAATTCCATCAGTGCTGAGCAGAAGAGTCAACTCTTCCCAAGAGTCACAGGGACTTTACGAAAACGTACTGTACTCGAGGCCCAGTCCATTCCATTTCACTTGCAACATGGAAATGTGTTTTCCCCTTGTTAACAGCCCGCTACGAAAAAAGTGTTAAACACAGAAATCTCAGAATGTCACTTGTGTGTTTGCAGGAGGTTTTTTGCAGGCTGCAGATGACCGAGAGTCATCTGCAGCCTTCAGAAGACAACAAAGGAGCAGGGAGCGTCTGAAGCCATAGGGGAGAAACTGGTCAACAAGGCGCTCACTGTCATGGACAGTATGGCTGTATTTGTATTTAACAAGATGTGTAATTTAAAATTTTTATTGCACACTTTTATTTCACTTTAACTGAGACAAATCCATGCAGATTGTTGAAAGTCTACTTTTTCTGTAAAAACTAAACAACAATAAAAACCAAATACAGCTGATGACTGCAGCTGCTCACAATCTTGGTGTGAGTGTCATCTGTGGCTTGGCCCTAACCATGTGGCTCTTGTGTTTCGCTTTCCAAGGGATAGTCTATGGTCTATGTCATAGACTATGCCAACAACTAAGGTTTAGGCCCTAAACCTTAGTTGTTTCCTGTGAAGATGGAAGTTTATTTTGAAAAGACAGTATGCATGTAACAAGCGAAAACAGACTCATGTTGCTGGACTTTTGCAGGAAAAACGCACGAAAAGTGAGGAGCAACTTTTCGTAAGATATCAATAAAACGGGGATGAATTTATATCATTGTACAAAGAGAGTGACATGAGAAGATCAATCTCATGTCTGTAAGTTAAATCAGCTATAATCACTCTTTTAAAGTGATTAGTGACTCATCTAAAACATTTAAAAATGGAATAACTTCAATAGAATCATTCTATACACTGTAGCTTCTCTACATTCTATTAGAATGTAAAATGTACAAGCACCAAATTTGGCATGAATAATGCCTAGGAACTACTCTTTCAGAAAAGCCCGGTATCCACCTGAAAATCCAAGATTTTCTTAAGATGGCCGTCGCCGAAAATGTGAATAGGTTTTTCAGTGTAGAAATTGAATGGCTGGACATATTTTAATAATCTAGACATCAAAATGTATGTATTTTGACACGAGAAATTCACGAGATTTTCAAGATGGCGGCCATTTGTTACTCAAAATTCACACTTTTTGTCGTTCTTTGATCAGAGATTAGGTTTCAGCTGGATGAAGTAGTAGTCCAAGTTCCAAGTTATCTTTTTGATCCAAATTAAAATGTTTTGATTGATCTATATGAGGGGACAAAAGGGCCCTGTGATTGGTGCATTTACTATCATTCCAGGATGGCTTCTTGTTCTTCTCGATGCTGCTCTCTAGTGGGAATATTACAGAGGTACTCTGCCAGTACATGTGGTGAAATATGTGTAAACAAGTTTAAATGGCTGTGATGAATGGATATACTAATGTTAATGTCAAACAAAAATGATGAGTAAGAATTTACAATCAAAGAAATATCTTTGATTGTGGGATCCTGCATCCAAATGGATGGGTTGGAGATAAGTTAACATGTATTGTCGATCAAAGATACTCTTCACTCCGTTCTTCATTGAGTGTAATACTAACCTTTAACCAGCAGAGTTCACTCAATCATTACTTTCTCTAAACGGTCTGCATCACGTCCACTTTATCGACTCTGAGATGCTTTTTGGTGTCAAAGCATAACTAATGGGTAATTAATTAAAAAAAAGTCCAATCAGTCAAAGGATTTAACTAATGCTTCATAGTGTGCAGTTATTATAAAGTGTTACCCTATTACCATTTCTACTGTAGTTGTTCATACTTAATAAGGAAATTGAGGCGGTAGCATAGAAGTACAAGGAATACTTTATGAATCTTCATTTATACTTAAAAATGTATTCTTAAATTTTGGACCTACTTAATTCACCTACAACAAGTTCAAAGGTACGCAAACAAAACACTGACGTCCCGAGAATGAACTATAGTGAACCACTCAACCAGTATTGGAAAGGGCTTTCTGTTATCTGAAGCAAAACAGTAATATGATTGTTATTAAAATGCATAAATGGGAATTTTAAATGTATGAAGACTGGGAAATGGCTTTCTGAAACAGCCCATTTTGATTTATTTTTTAAATTACGCTTTTATATCATCTCCTGCTGAGCTATATACATTTTATGATTGTACCGTCACACTTGACAAACATGGACTCAGTTTTACACCTTATTTCAAAATACATTTTCATCCTCTGTTTGGCAAGTCACTAAAAAGAAATGTGCTAATAAGCATCTATTTCAAACATCCCATGTAACTCCTGCATTGAAAAATGAATAATTGGCAATAATACATTAAAATGGATTCATGAACAACTCGGTGGCAGAAGTACTTTCATGTTCGATAAAGACAATAAGGTGGTAAGTTTTCACTCTTACTCACTATGCCTGATTATACTTTGCCCCCGCACTGCTGCACTGAGGAGAACAGCCTTTTGTATCACTCAACCGTCCAAGCACTGAATAGTCCTGTATTCTCTGTTATTCTATTTATTATATATCTCAAGCAGCACAGAGTCACTTGCAGAGAGAATAATGGACGCGACCAATATTTAATCTGCCAACGGGTAAGAAAAGGTGACAAAAGGTAACAGAGCAATTCTGTAGTTGTTTACACGAGGCACCTAACACATACATGGACATTTTCATGAATACTCATTCAGTGTTAACATACATTATATTCACCACTGCCTATGAATGATCACAGTTTCACATCTCTGGGGATACATGTGGGGTCAAAAATGAGCAAACATATTCACCACAGTTACAGTGGGCTGGAGGGGGCAGCCCTTAAAAAATGTAGGGGCCCTACCCATTGTGACCGCCGTTGTATCTAATCAAATTGCGATTTTCTTTTCTTAAGATTGATTACCTAATTTAGTTTCCCATAATCTTTCTGGAGCATTAGTTAAGTATGAGTAAACACTTAATTCATCGTTTATAAAGCATTGTTCCTACATTAACACTCATTAGTATACAATTTATAACAACAGTTATAAATGTTTTATTCTTGACTAATAAGCTTGTCTATTATGTGTTTCATGATTGTGTTTTCATACTTTATAAATGATGGATTCCCCATTTGTATTTATATATATAATGATTTAGATATGCACTAATGGTTAGGGACTATGTTAATATATGCTTTATAAACGCTGGACAGTCTTGCATGAAAGCGGAGAACGATCTGGCAGTGAGTGTGTGTGTGTGAGACTGGGGTCTAAATAGTGGATGCAGCAGAGTGAGCAGGTGAGAGTAATGAGCTGATGAGGTGGGTGTGACTGGCAGGTGCACTGAATGAGCTGATTAGGTGCGTGAGAGATGGAAAAAACATGACAGTAGTGGCAGAGCTGTGACATTTTGTCTGTCATGGACAGGGCTCCACTTACCTGTCAGTTCCATGGCAATCCAGGGCTTAATTGTGCTGCAGAGCTGCTGAAATATATTCATAGCTGTGGTAAGGCTGTGCGTTAGACACAAACTCAGCAACTCTTTTGTCACTTCGAACAGGAAATTTAAACAACTGGTGAAAAAATCTGGCTGAGCATTGTCGGTTTAGTCTGTGCTTCCGTCAGGCGCCACAGAGTATGCAGGAACAACTCTTGTTTCGTCATGTAACCAGGGCTCGGAATTTGATTTTCCTCAGTGTCCTACAACTGTCCTGAATACTTTCACCTGTCCCAGACTTTACAACCAATGTCCCAGATTGATTTTTTTTCATTAAATGTTATAATCTTTGTTTTATTATTATTTATCATAAACTATACGAATTAAGTCACATAATCACTCTCATCCACCATGAACAACTTGAAATCACCCTGGCTTTATGGGGCATTGTAACCAATGACTACATTATTCCTGTAGGCATTGGTTGAGTTACCGTTTCTTCTATATTTCTAACTGCAGAGCAAAAATACAAACTTGTTTCTGATATAGAGCGATGGA